TAAGATCTTCATACATTTCCTCAATATCCATATAGATGTGAATCTTCCATTTTTATCACACACACACAGACTACAGAGGATTTATCATATGAGATACATTATTTCAAAACCTGCTAATTTTTGTTTTAACATAAAGAGGCTGGCTTATTTTTTCTTAAAGTATCCTTCCAATTTCTCCTGTTTAGTAGAGTGTATACCTGTTCCTTTTTACATTCTTTCTTTTTTGTATTTTTCTCCATTTCTCTAAACAGATAATTGTATGGCTACCTCTTGATTATTCAATTTTAGGCATTACCTTTGACTTTCCACTTTTGAAGCTTTACCACTCTCTCCCCCACTATATACGTATTTCCATCCGCTATGCCATATATATAGAAGTTAAAACCTTATCTGTTTCCTTAGATTCCTATATTTCCATCACAAATTAATTTCCTAACTCTTAATCAGTTTTAATTTAAAATACCTGAGTGATTTTATTAATTTTAACTTTTTGGACCTCTGTCTCTGAGAATTTTTTGACCTGCCTTCAGTCAGGTCTGGTCGTTCTTTAGGTCCAGTCATAGCTTTCATCTTACTATCCACGTTTACCATTATCTTGAACGTATGCTTTGCCTTTCTCTTGGGTTGGATCTCCCATAGCAGTAACTCATTTCTTCTGTTTTCTTGTTTACACGTTCATTTGGGCAGAACATCTCCTCCAATAGCTTCCTGAGAAAGGTGTTGTAGGAAAGATAAATTTTTGACACCTTAAAAATCTTCAAAAATTTTTTTTCATATTTGATTTGTAATTTGCCCAGGTATTGATTTCTGGATTTGAAACACTTTTCCCTCAGAATTTTGAAGACGTTATTTTATTCTAGTTTCCAGTTTTGCTGTAGAAAATTCAGTGCCACACTTACTTTTAATCTCTTTTATTTTTATCTTTTATATATATAAAATATATGTTATATAAGATCTTCCTTTGTCTGTAGTGTTATAAAATTTTACGACATACCTTGTTGTAGGTCTATGCGTATACTCTATGAATCCTTTCAAACTAGAAAATCGTGATTTTCAGTTATGGGAATTGTACACTATTTATTTATTTGATGATTTCCTCCCCTCTATTTTCTCAAGTCTGTCTTTCTGGAGATATTATTATTATTCATGTTTTGAATTTCCTAGATTGATGCTCTAATTTATTGAACTCTTCCGTCTCTGTGTTTTGCCCTACATTGTGGGAGATTTCCTGATCTTTATCTCACCTCACCTATTGAGATTTTAATTTAGGCAATCATATTTTTAGAGTTCCTTATCTGTTACTCCCTTTTTGTAGTAACACGTTCTTGTTTCATTGATGTATTTTTTTTAATAAAAATGACAGTATTAATTGTTTTTTAAAGTTTTTTTTTCCCATCGTATGTTTCTTCCAAGTGGATTTCTTATGTGTGTGTTTTGTTCTCAGTATTTGATGTTTGAGGCTTTCTTCATGTATCTAGTGATCCTGAATTAGTGGTTTGTGCATAAGAGAGTGGGTCACTGTAAAAGCAGATTGGAGGCTCTGTTCATTGGGTAGATCTTGTCACCAGTGGGCCTTACCATAAGATAATACTGCAGGGCTGTTTCGCTGAGAAACCTCTAATATCTCTGTCTTTAGGTATTCCGTTTGTTCTTGACCTGGTCAAATTCCTGAGTAAGGAAGAGATAAGTCAGGCTGCATCAAGTTCTGGAAGTCATGTAGAGGGAGAGGGCAGGAGGCGTCAACAGCCGGTGTCAATGGTCACTGGATGTTTGCAGTAAGGTGGTACCCCCAACCTCCCTGTGCTGAGTGTTCTACAGCCCCTCACCCTGATGGTAAAACAGGAACATAGGAGGGCATCTCAGTGATACGCATCACAGATTTACTCTTCCAGTCTTCTGCGGGGATGTGGGGGTGGGGAGGGTGCAGGTGAGATGGTACCAGCCTTTGGGGACGGGAGAGGGCAGAACTCTACTTCTAAAAGCAACTTGTTGTACCACTTTGGGGTCTTTTTGGAGTTAAGTGGTAAAATTGTTTTGCTTCTTGACTTTACTCTACCTTTGGCCTAGGAATCAGCATCTTTGGCTTAGTTAAATCAGTTAACTGCTTTCCTTCTGTTTCCTAGGTTTTTTATTGCTTTTATATTGCAGGTTCATTTTTTTAAGCCTTTTTTTCCTGTTATTCTAGTGGGATTCATAATTAAAATACTTTGTAATCTACCCTTTCCAACAAAAAATATATTTTAATATTTTTCTTACCAATAAATATATTTCCACACCAACATTTTAGTGACTACATAGGAATCTCTTTTAGAGATCTGACTTATCCCCTGTTGTAAACGTGGGCTGTTAGAAGCAATATTGCAAAGAACCTTCTTCTAGCTAGAATTTGTATCAGTCTTTAAATAAATTTAAAATGTGAGAAAATTATGAATCCTTTCTAAAAATGTTTCTTACCAAGTGACATCTTATTTCCGATAGCATGAAGATGCTTCCTTTTCTAATGGAGACCTTTCAGTGTAAACATTCCATTTAACCACTTTTCCCACCAGATGGGAAATCCTGTGTATGTTCAGTTCATCCTACATACTCAGGCTGTGCCTAGAACAGGAAAAGCACCTGATACATATTTGCTAATGAGACATATGCATAATAAATGAATATTAATTATCTTGTTTTAAAACTTCAAAGAGAAGCAGTCTGGTATGAAGGAAGCAGGATGTAATAAATTTTAAATGACTTATTTTCATCACTTAGAGTTACTTCGATGTTACTCAGGTCGTAAAGTAGTAAGATTGAGAACCAGATTTAAAAAGAAGGAAGCCAACATGGCAGGGTGATATATAGGCTTACCAACACCCACTGCACCTGGAGAGCAAGCAGTGCTGAGGTATTTGGCAGGCAAATTTGTAACAAATGGCTTTAAATACAAGATAGTAACATATAATATGTTTATTTTGGAATTTAAGGATAAGCCTCCTATTGTATAGAGATAATATACATCTATTGCAATGAATTATATGGTTGGATTAAATAAACATTACTTTGCTTAATCTAGTCCTGGGTTTCTCAAAGTGGAGTCTGCACATGATCAGTCTCAGAATCACATGGGATCTTGAATATTCACTTTCCCTGGCTTGCCTGAGACCTAATGGAATCAGAATCACTTTGAGTCGCCCGAGATTCTGCATATAACAAACTCTGCATATACACATTTACAATCTTCATGTCTTCTCTGGACTAAAATTTAAGAAACTTTGAGAAAGGTAGGTACACATCTTATATAAATTTGAAATATCTAATGAATTTAGAATTAATGATTGGGGAAATTCTGGTAAATTGATTTAATACATTTTATTCCTTTCCCCATCAGTTATTACTCTCTAAGAATTCACCTAATTAGATTACCATACAGAAAGTCAGGAAAAAATGTATCTTCTTTTTAAACTTCTCATTCTCTGATGTGACCAGTGGCTAGAGGCATTAATTTGTGGTTTAAGAAATGAACACATGCATACTGCATAACACATCTGTTGAGTATATTGCATCTCTGGCCTAGAATTTCAATTTTTTAACCCAACGTATTTTAGATCATATTTTTTGTTGAGATTTGTTTTAATTATAGGCAAGTTTGATGTGTTGTGAGAGAGATCTTAAACATTGCTCAGGTTGACAGTTTATTCAGTGATGTAGCATGTCTGAGAACTCCTGCCCCAATACCTGGAACATAATAGGTATTAGATAATGCATGTCCCCCTGGTGGGCATCATTACTTTCCAAAGGTGGTAGTAAAGAGGGAAAGTATGAAAACCATCTCAGTGATAGGTCACCCTATATGAATGGAATCCTTACTATTTATTTATTTAATTTATTTTTAAAGATTTTATTTATTCATTTGAGAGAGAGAATGAGAGAGAGAGAGAGCATGAGAGGGGGGAGGGTCCGAGGGAGAAGCAGACTCCCTGCTGAGCAGGGAGCCCAATGCAGGACTCGATCCCGGGACTCCAGGATCATGACCTGAGCTGAAGGCAGTCGCTCAACCAACCAAGTCACCCAGGCGCCCTGAAATCTTAACTATTTAAAAAGTAAAAAAAAAAAAAAATTAGATCTTTCCAATACTATTAGCTAACATCTACCAAGTATTACTACGTAACATATACATCCTAAGCTATTGACATGAGGTAGGTGCTTATAATTATCTCTACTTTAATGATAAGTGAAGCACAGTGAGATTATAAAGTTATCCAAGGTCGACCAACTGGTAAATAGTGAAGTCTAATTATGAACACAGAAAATCTGTGTCTAGAGATCACATCTACTCTCATATCATGTTTTCCATTCAAGTTGTAGTACCATCGCTACTATAATGGGAAGGCACTTTTCATGTAAATGCTGAGGGGGAAGATGTATCATTTGATGTATCTTAGTGATAACTAAGTTTTCATCTTCCTACCAATTTTGCATATTAAATATTTCTGATAATTTCTTTAAAAATATATGATACACCTAAAGTAAAGAGACTAATAGGAAGACAGTTTTAGGGTCCAAATAATCTGGGTTTAAGTGCTGGCTTCATGATTTATTAGCTGTGTGCAGATCACTTAAACTTTGAGTCTTAATTTTCTCATCTGCAAATGGGAATGGTATTTACCCATACCATTACCATACAGAGTAGGGATGATCTATATATTAGTGCTCATTGAGCTTGTTGTACTCAATCAAATACAACTATTATAATTTAATGTGTAGGATGCTATCCTGAAAGGGTGATGAGAATTTCTGTATTTTATAGGCAACATATATTATGTAATCATAACAGTTCTATAAGTAAAGTTATCCTGAGCATAATTTCTAATATCAAAATCATTAAAATAACTTTTATATTTAAATCTTTAAGAATCACCAATACTTAATATTTTGTTTAATCTCATCGTTCTTTGGGTAGAAGACTTTGGCTGGGCTATCCCACAGATACTTAAACTCTTACTCTTTGTTCTTTTCAGCAAACTTACTTGATAACATGCTTTTGCGAAGTTCAGGAAAATTAAATGTGGGCACCAAGAAAGAGGATGGTGAGCGTACAGCCCCCACCCCTCGTCCAAAGATCTTGCGTTGCAAATGCCACCACCATTGTCCAGAAGACTCAGTCAACAATATTTGCAGGTTGGTCCTATAAATTATTTAAACCTCGTTTTAACAAAGAGTCATGCTTTTTTGACTACAGAACTGTAGGCTGATGTTTTCCAAGAACACATTTTGGGGAATAGTGCCTAACTCCATTAACTCTCAGAGCTGTGCCTGTGGTTAGAAAAATATTAAATTGCATTTTGGCCTGAAATGGTGTTCTGAGAGTCTTCTTCCTTGCTGCAAATATCACACATGTACATAAACATAGAACACAAATCCCAGGCTTGGGACAAGTGTCAAGGAGCAAAAATCAATTGTTTTATTTCAAAAAACCTTGTCCCCCAAATAAATTCAATCGTAGGGGGTGTCATATGTGTGAGGATAATTTTTATTTGTTTTAACCATTCATCATGTCAATGGTGGTTATTAATATTTTGGAAAGAACACCTGAGTTGTCAGGAATATGCACTGGCTCTGGGAAGCAGTATAGTGGTAGAGCTCACGTGATGAGTCTACCAGATATTAGGAAAGACATTGCCAGAGTATTAGAGAATAAACTCCTTAGTGGGTAATCATATCTGTATCAAAACTTTTTTTGAAACTGGACTATTTACCTCTTTCTTTTTTATACATCTTAATGCAGCTACATCCATTTTGCTAGGCACTATAACCTGCATTTACACACACCCCCCCCTCTCACGGGGACAACAGTGGGTAAAGAGGTATAGCATAATGAGGCCAGTGTGCCCAGGGAGACGTGGCAGAATAAACAGACAAGTGCCGATCTCAAGAGTTAAAGTAGCAGAAAAGCAGAATCTCCCTCAATAAGGGTAACAGAACTAAATGGGAAGATGGGCTGCTAGGTTTGAAGACCAGGCAGAATATCTGAGCGATCATTTGGAGCCTCTTTACCCAGGAAGGAGCGTGAAGCTGAGGTGAATGCTTTTTTTTTCCTTCTTTTCTTCCTGAGAAAGAAAGCATATCCTGAGATAGATAGCTCAAGAAATATGTGTTAACTGAATGACAGGGAAGAATGTTAGGTATATTCATAAATACATATCTCCTTTAATCAGCAAAACTATTCAGCATGGTAAGGCATGCTTATTTCTTACCATTAGACGTAAGGAATTCACGGCCCAGAGAAGTCTGGTAACTCGGCTTTTATACGACAGAACAAAGTTGGGACCACTGACTTGTGCCGTGGTAAAATGATTCCAGAGCTCAGACGTATTTCCTGGGAAACACTACCTGTTTGTAGTAAGTGGCAAAAGTATCAGGAAAATGTCCAAGTTTTCTGAAGAAAAAAAATTATCAGGAGAAAACATATTAGGGAGGTATTTTACTGTTTTTCCTGAGTGTGTAGTAATTAATAAATCTAGGTGTGTCATTTGAGCTATTTCTGGTGATCATGTGTGTAGGCCTTCCGAAAGTATCCCCACCTTAACTATTTTGTCCTCTTCTCTCTGTAGGCCATTAGTGTCCTGCGTTGACTTGGAGGAAAGTGATCAGGCAGGGCTCCCTGCCGTGCAGGTGCTCGGTGTGGGAAGGAGAAGGTTGGCATGTTCAAAGAAGACTGGTTCTCCTAACATGCAGCAAGCAGGAGGAGGTGTGGCTATAGTCGAGCCTGGAGCCAGGAAAGGTTACTCATGGCCTGGTCGGTTGTATTAAGAATGTTCGTCTTATTCCTGGAAGCATTAGGAGGCCATGGAGGGGGATTTGTTGAAGCAGGAGTAGCGGTAGTACTGATGTGGATTTTGGAAGGACTTGATCTTGGACTCGGGTGGTGCTGCACAAGAGGGAGATGCGTGTGTTGGGGAGCTGTTTAGAAGGAAAGTTTTACTTTGATGAACTGGATGTGCGAGGGGCCCAGGGGGGCTTCAGGGGTTGTTGGAGGTACGTTTAGAGGTACAGTGTAGGCTTTTCATGAAAGAGGACAGAGGGGAATAATTAAGTTCCAATCTGGACGTGCTGAGTTTAAGGTTTTTGACACCTGCAAATAGAGATACCAGAGAGTAGGCCATGGGATGTGGATTTGGAGCTGAGATGAAGAGTTTGCAGGGAGAGTCTAGAGTGAGTAGAACATGAGTCAGTTTTTGCTGTGAAACAAATGACTTACAACGAAAGACATTTATTTTTTCATTCCTGGGTCTACGTACTGGCCGCAGCTGTGCTGGGTCCTGCTGGATTGGGTGGGCTTGGCATCGGGCTGCTGCTTGAGTTCGGGCCGGCTCCACATGTTTGTTCATCCTTCTTGAGCCAGAAGATAACCAGGGCATGTTCTTTCTCACTTGGCTGGGAGGGAGCAACCTCTTGTACTTGTGGCATGTCCTCTAACATTCCACTTACCAAATCAAGTGATACGATCAAAGCTCAGCTTTGGAGAGAAGCCATGGCTAGGGTGGGGCATGAAAAATTGAGTACAGTAATAGAACAATCTGGTAGACCAGAGTAGGACTGAGCCTTGAGACATTTAATGCCTGGGTCAAGGAGGCTCTTAGAAGATTCAGAACGAACAGAAAGCAGTGAGTGTGGTAATCATTGAACCAGGTTTACAGAGGGAGGAAGTAAGGTCAGCTGTGTTAGAAGCTGTTAGAGGTCAAGTCAGATAAGAACCAAAACCTGGTGGTCAGATTTATTGACCTTGATAAGTGCAGTTTAGAACTGTGTATTCCAAAGTCCTGAATTCTTGAACATCAGCCATCCCCTGAACTGGATCTCAAAGGAGTGAATATTCACTCTTGGGTAAAATGCACATCGTTTTTGCTAATAAGATGTTAACTCCATTTGAGTTTCCTGTGAGCTGAGATCAGTCGTGTGAATCACAGGGGCTGCTTTTGTTCCTGGGCCCCAAGACCTTAGAATAAATTCAGGGCTCCATTCATGTAAATCCACGATCTACTCTTTTGACTTCCAGCAATCAGTACTTTTCATGCTATTTCTGGTGAAAGATACTCCCCGCCCCATTAGTTGCACTGATACTTTTCTAAAGTACAATAAAAATGAATTACTAGAAAATAAATTTAAAAAACTTATAAATTATATGTCCAAATGTTTCTATTTTTCTATTATTGACATTCAGTAGAGCTAAATTTATTGCTATGCAAGTTTCCATTTTTGTATTAACTCCTCACAGACCGGTAACAGTTGACTGACTTGCAAGGGAACACACTTGGAGTAATATTGCATTCAGTCTTGCACTCCTAGGTAAATCAGTTCTAAAGCCCAGCGCATGCTTTGTTGAAGCTTAGATGAGGACTCGTTCAAGCTGTGTGGCCTGAGACCTTGTAGTAGGCAGTTCTTAGCCAATCTGGGTATCCTAGGTAGGTCTCAGGCACATTACCACTCCCATATTTTATCTCTGTCAAGATAATATCTATCTTCTAAATATCTTTCCAGTTGTTAAATTTGTGAATCCTTCCCATTCCTTTTCTAGATTTATTCCTCGGACCTGAGACTATCACTACACACCTTGAATGCTTCAAAGTGTCCTGCAATAACTCTTTACATGACTTCACCATGCCAGTGTTTTGTCTTATTTTCAAGCCTTGTTTGTCTGTTTTTTTTCCCTCTATATAATCTGGTCCTGCTTTATATATCCTTCCCTGTTCTACTTGACTTGGCCTGTGATAGTCATTTTTTGTTACCACTCACGACCTCTCTCAAGTTTGCCCAGACCCTCCTCGCACAAGTCTATCCATTTCTAAAAATTATTTTTTACTCTTTTTCAGAGATGATTTTAAATACATTACCATTTATCTTACTGGGTTTGACCAAGAATTCTGCCTGGACAGTTTTCAGGGCTTACAGGTGTAATAAATCACATTGGATGTTTGCACGAAGGATGTGCATATGACACCAGGCTGCCTAAATGAAAAATTAGACAAGTCTCCCGACTGGACTGTACCTTGAAGAGTCACAGGGGGAAAAAAGGGGAAGCTTAGGGGCTGTGAGCCTTTTTATAAAGTTTGCATTAACCCAAGACTTTTAAACCTCTTGCTGAATGTGATGATGTGAGTTTTCAGACAGGTGCTCCTGACCTAAGATCTCAGAATGTCTAAAATGCACATTGTTCTCCTCTGTTTATACATCTTCCATTGCATCCATTTTATTCCATTGTTGCTCAGACCATCTGAATATTGAGCTTTATGATCTTTTAAAGAACTGTTGAAGATTTTCGAGCAGAGAAGGAAGATGTGAGGTTTCTCAGGAAGTGCTGTGCACAGTCATTCCGAGTTCAGTGAGAGGGGACAGGGAGGGCTGCTAGAAGGCTCTCAGAGCAATCTAAGTGAGAGACAGAGAGGTGAGGTGAGAATATACAAATTCACAGGGTGGTGAGGTGAGAATATACAAATGCCCGATTCATATAAAAATGGAGACAAATTCAAAAGATCTTGTAGCTCATAGAAAAAATGAACAAAATGCCAAATCACTCGGAATGGCTGCTAGAGACGGGTGTAAGATAGTTACACATTCTTGAAGATAAAGTAAAAGGCATCTCTCACATTGGAACTTTATCAGTAATTTAACTTCACCTTCCTGTGGAGATACGACATCTCAGAGAAACCAGAGATGGGGCGCAGTAGTAGCCATATATGTTTTACCCTCTTTCCCTCACTACTTCGGGAATCAACCCATCTAAGATGATAAGGAAAAAAACATATACACTTTAGGATTCTATTACTACTTTGATAACTACCACTGTTCAATATTATTCTTTTTTTTTAAATATTTTATTTATTTATTTGACAGAGAGAGAGACACAGCGAGAGAGGGAACACAAGCAGGGGGAGTGGGAGAGGGAGAAGCAGGCTCCCCGCCGAGCAGGGAGCCCGATGCGGGGCTCGATCCCAGGACCTTGGGATCATGACCTGAGCCGAAGGCAGACTCTTAATGACTGAGCCACCCAGGCGCCCCATGTTCAATATTATTCTTTGCTTTTCTCCCAAGTCTGTAGAAAACACCTTGACTAGCTTATGATTTCTGTCCTTACTGCTAGAAGTTGAATGACTTGGTTTCTCCTAGGACTGTGGCATTCATAGACTATGAGCTCCCTCAGAGCTAAGGCTGCTTCTTCCTCAGCTTGTGTCTGGGTCTCTAACTCTGCCGGAGTCATTGTGTGCTCAATAAATGTTTGTCAAATGAACTACTGTTAACAAAGATCTAAGCAGCCTTTACTGTTTTAGTTAACTAAAATTTACATGATTTAGATAACGGCTCTAAAATTTGTATGTATTTTTGAGTTTATCTGTGACAGAAAACTTCAAAAACTTTCTTTATTCCCTTGAATGTGAAATAGGTATTTTATTTTATTTATTTATTTTTTTAAGATTTTATTTATTTATTTGGGAGAGAGAATGAGAGACGGAGAGCACGAGAGGGAAGATGGTCAGAGGGAGAAGCAGACTCCCTGCCGAGCAGGGAGCCCGATGCGGGACTCGATCCCGGGACTTGAAATAGGTATTTTAGAAGACAAAAGGTTCTCAAGGACTGGTTTTAAAATCTACTTATAATCAAACAGTCTTTCCAATCAATTCTGGCTGAAACCTAAAAGAAATTTGAGGGCGCCTGGGTGGCTCAGTTGGTTAAGCAACTGCCTTCGGCTCAGGTCATGATCCTGGAGTCCCAGGATCGAGTCCCGCATCGGGCTCCCTGCTCAGCAGGGAGTCTGCTTCTCCCTCTGACCCTCCCCCCTCTCATGTGCTCTCTCTCTCTCTCTCATTCTCTCTCTCAAATAAATAAATAAAATCTTTAAAAAAAAAGAAATTTGAAAGAAATTTAGGAATTCTAGTATTTCTCGCATACTGAAATAGAACTGGTATAAATATTGATCAGTCAAGAGAGCTATAATCCTTATGGGCAGAGAGATCCACTTCAGCAGGTATCCCTATATATAATTAATTTTTATCAAGAGCAAAATTTTAAACTACTCAGTAATTAATTTATTTGATAATTTAAAAATTTTATTAGTTTTTTTTAATATTTTAATAATGCTTTAAGACTTCCTGTCACCCTGATTGAGCAGAACAGATAAACTACTCTTAACCAATGCTTAACAATTATTTTATACTTACATTAATCTTTATCAAGATCTAAACTAGTTAGAAAAAACTTCTACAATAGTCCCTCCTCAACCGTGGTGGTCATGTATCTGAACAACCCTAGCATCTGCAACAGGGAAACATAACATCTTAGTGGAAGAATAGAGGTAAAGGGACCACATCCTGAGTAAACCTTATAAACACTTGATTCACTGGAACAAAACAAAAAAGAGAGCACCTTAGATAAAGATGCTGGCAGTGCAACTTTAGACATGTATGGAATTGGTTTCTGACTATTCTACAAGAACTCATGAAGGAATTGGAGTCCAAGAGGCAGTTTATAAACCCAGTTTGACTAGAAATGAGAGGAGTGCAGGCTCTGGATGCACAGCCATACAAAACGTTGGGCTTCGTATATCCATTTCTTACTTGCTTACTTTCTTCTTACTGAAAATCTCTTGAGGAAGTTAATTCCCGAATGATCTCTCTAGATGTTCTAGACACTGCTTTTGGAATTTTGGGCAGATTCAAGTTTTGGCCACATTCAACCTGTGGCACCATCCGATGGTTTTAACAAAAGTTCATCATCAGTGCTTTGACTTCACATGACCTATAAATTCTCAAATGCTTTGCTTTTTCATAAATTAACATTATGTTGAGAGGCAGCCAGTGATGATGACTGATCCCCTTGGTATGCAGCTGTTCTATTTTGTTCATGATTTGTCTTTACCTGTAATGCAGGGGCAGCATTTTTGAAATGTTACATCAATTTCCTTTTTTTAAAAATTCATTATCATTACTGTAACCAAATGGCATCCCTGTATATACATCTCACTGCTTTCAGTTTTTTTTTTTTTTAATGATTTCTACTTGTGTTTTCTTCATGAGGCTTCATTTCTTCTTGTTACAACTTTCAACTCCGTGGGAATAATGGGGTAGTAATAATCAATATAAAACTTTTAAAAGCTAAGCTTAAACATGGCAGGCAGGCAGCAGAATATTCAAATAAGCCAATGCCAAGGCTTAATCGCCTTTTGTGACAGTCAGCAGCCGTCTCTCAGTGGAGGGAGTTGAACAGCTCTGACTCAGGAGCACAGCTTGGTTTACGTTTGTGTTTGCTCAAGAATTGAAAGTTCTCAAGTGATTCTTAAGCTTCTATAATTGCACGGCTCCTTTCCAGTTAGTGTCCCTTGCTAGCCAGTAATTTCAGTGAGAAGCTTATAAATTATTTTTGCATTGCTTTGTTTTGCACCTGGGTGGCTCAGTCGGTTAAGCGTCTGCCTTCGGCTCCAGTCATGATCCCGGGGTCCTGGGATCAAGCCCCTCATTGGGTTCCCTGCTCAGCGGGGGGAGCCTGCTTCTGCCTCGCGCTACTCCCTCTTGTGCTCTCTTTCTCTCTCATGAACAAATAAAGTCTTAAAAAATAGTATTTTTGCTTTGTTGCAGATAGTATGCACTTGAAATCGTTCTCTAACCTTTCGGCTTGTCCTCCAGCTACATATTTGGTTTTTGTCCCAGTTGATGACTTAGGGGACACTGACTTTTCTCCTCCTCCACACCTCTTTGTATTTTTAGCTCCACCCTCTTTGCCGACAAGGCAGTGTATTTTTAAGGCTTGAATTTACTCTCCCTGATTTCTTTATATTTCCCGGGACATTGTCAGAGTAACTTGCTAACAGCTTAACCAACTTTTTTTATTCTCTTTTTTGATCTTTATGAGGGTCTTTCCATATATTCAGATTTTGAGTAAGGGAAACTCATAAATAAGGAGAAATTAATCTTTTTAGATTTAACATATTGTATCACTTTTTCTAGCTGTGAAGTCCTAATGTCAGAAAACTGAGGTGACTTTAATTCTGATAATTCCTGAATTTTATTTTTGATGAGAAATAGAAGTTGCACATATGGTCTAAATGGGAAGGAAAGGAATAAAAAAAAATCACACGGGTATTGTTTGCTCATATTGTTTAAATTTCTAAGGGACAGCTCTTATTTATTGCCTTCAGTGTTTACATGCTTTAGATTTTCATAGCAATTTCAGTAAATTGGCTAAAAAGCCCCCAAAGAATTCAGAGCAAGGGCTGTTCAGAGGCAGTCTTTCTTCCATGACAATATTCATGCATTTGACCTTAGTCTAACAAAGAGATTTATCATTGGCCCTTCTTAGTCATTCGTTAGTATATTTGAACTTTGCCGGTCTAGTTCTTATAAACCGAGGCATTCTGGATCACTTGAGGGTTACAAACTGAGTAAACCATTCTAAGGGTGTTGATGCTAACTGGAGGGCTAATGTATGGCAGAATACTGCTGCCACTGATACTGAATAGACAAGCCCACAAATCACGGCTAATGCCGTCCGTGCTCAGAGCTTTCTTCCCTTGACCTTTCAGGACGACATTGCCATATCTGTCTTGGACGCTGAGCAAGCATATGTATGAGAAAAAGATGGAGATATAATTTAGTGTTTTATTTCTTAGCACATGCAGTAGTGGTTGGTGACTAACATTAGGAGTCTGCTGGCATTCATCCCCCTAACTTGTGAAGACAGTAAAGTCTGTTTATAAATAATTCTGTATGTCAGAGTTCTTGTTTTCCAGATTTGGCCCCGGGAGAGGATAGTGCAAAATGTGGGGATGAAGGAAGCAACAGGTCCTTGACTCAAGGCCTCATTCTGTTACCGTTTGTTCTGTGACCTTGTACGCATTTATTAGACTTCCTAACTTTAATTTCCTCATCTGTAAAACAGAAATAATACCCCTTTCTTTCCATTGTTGTTGAGAGGATTAAATGAGATAGAATAAGTAATTTTTTTTGTTTAAATCTAGACAGCCATACAGAAATTTAGAATTTTGTTTCTTTGCTTTCCGTGGTCCATTCTTTCTGTTGTTCATCCTCCCCCCCCCCCCCCCCCCCGTGCTTACAACAAAGCTTGATGTTTCCATATGACAGATCAGCCCCAAAGCAGAGGGACCAAATGGCAGAATCTTAGCTCGGTGATGCTGTGCTGATCCCAGCTCCTACCTGTCTTTCTTTTGGTGCCTTAGTAAGAGATAAGTTTATTTCATTTGGAGCAACTAGAACCAGCATAAATGTTCAGCTGCATGGGGGAAACTCCTGCTGGGCCTCTTATTTGCTGTAAGGCCCTTGAGAAATTGCTCAAGCTCTCTGAGCCTCATTCGAAGGTGAGAATAATGCTGCCTTCCTCACAGGGTTATTTTTCTGGATTTGTGGAGGTGATGCCTCCAGAGGGCCAAAGCAGGTGTTTAGTAATTGGTGTATGTGATTATTAATGGCATATGTTATATGGTAAGTTTGGCTCCTTTCTCACAAGTTTATAGACAAAGAAAATATTACCAAATGTTTTATGGTTATTAAATCAAATTTCATAAGAGGAAGTTTTGGGATTCTCTTAACAGATTGTAACCTGTAATGATCATCGACTTTGTCCTTTTGTGTAATAAAACAAATGATGAACATGTTCCTTTCCCCCTACACACACACACACACACACACACACACACACACACGCTTACTTTGCCTGTTTCGTCTTTAGCACAGATGGATATTGTTTCACAATGATAGAAGAAGATGATTCTGGGATGCCTGTGGTCACTTCTGGATGTCTAGGACTAGAAGGCTCAGATTTTCAGTGTCGGGTAAGGAAGATAAGTTGATTCTACTTTGTAACCTTTCATTGCTAGCTTTCAAACAGTCAGGTTTCAAGTTAGATAAAACAATTGCTTTTCTTGACTAGCCTGTCTTTTTAGTAAGTTGGAAAATAATTTGAAAATTCTCTCATTGGGCCAATTCTGCCTTCATTTCAAAATCAAATGTTAACTTCTTGCTTGGCGACTCATTAGATCATCTTGCTCAGATTCCAGTTTAGTTAATTGCATTAATCCAAGCCTTCTTCCTCAGTTTATAACTATGTGCCCTGGTTATTACAAATGTAATAGTAGTTTTGTTGAAATGCAAAAGCTGTGGTAAGATAATACATGGGAATTTAAGAGAAATTTTCTAATAGAAAATAACATTTTCAGGATGTTTGAGAAAAAATTATCAGAATTTTAAGTGAGCTCTCTAAATAGTGTTAGTTCTTTAAAAAGTTTTAGATTATGTGACTTTGAAATTTAGGGGAACCCACTAATAGCTTTTCGGTTCAACTTTAGGACACTCCCATTCCTCATCAAAGAAGATCAATTGAGTGCTGCACAGAACGGAATGAATGTAATAAAGATCTACACCCTACATTGCCTCCACTGAAAAATAGAGGTAAGGAGGGGGAAGCTTTGGGGCTGGAAGAGCTTTGGGCACAAAGAAAATAAAAACCAGAATTGTTCTTTCTTTCCTAAATGATGTACCTGTATCATTTTCCACTGCTGGGGCAGGGGACTGAAGCCAGATGACATAATTCAAGTCGTTCTTGGAAAAGTAGTCATATGTGGCTTCATGCTGGAGAATTCTTCTTTCTTAAACTTCTCCCCACTTCCCTGTAAAACCTAGAGGTCCTGGAGCTTGTAGTATGTTTCAGGAGCATAGAGGAGGGAGACAGTGTTTTATGCTTACCTCTAAGTGTTACTCAGAAGTTGCACTTCTCTCAAAAACTGCCAGTAGGCTAACATGCATTAAAAAAATAAAGGCCTGAATTGGATTATTTGCCGGATATATTTCCTTTTGTGTGTGCTGGAGCAACTACATTTTAGTCAAATCATATGTCAGTGTATTGATAGAATGGGAAAGATGTCTAGAGAACTTAATTTTAAAACTTATACATTTAAGTGTTGCTCATGGAAAAGAAGACAAATGTTGCAAACCTGAAAGGCTTTTTGTTAAAAACTCCTCCTACGTTTCCTTTCTTCTCCTTGCTCACACCACAAAATAAATGACTGGAATTGTCACAGAGTCCTAAAGCTTAAGTCTTATGTAAGTGGTTTAAAATTATTTCTCATGATTGATTTTATTTCTTGAGAAAATCTTCCTAACAAAATATAATGACATTTCATGGTTTTGATGATAACATTTTATAACATTTGTTTCTGCTGAAGCCCAGAAAGGTTTAAAGGATTGATTCATAATAATTCACATAAAACATTCAGAGACAGCTTTTTTAATATATATTTTCAGTCAGCACGGTAGGCATTAGGGATACAGAAATGGATGAAGAAAATTCCTGCTCTCAAGACATGCCCACTGGGATGCGAGAAATATGTAAATATTTAAATTATATTTGGTCAGGAATATCTTAGTAGAGTTAAATTATAAGTGTAGCAAGGACATAAAGGGGGCAGCGGTTTACTCTGCCTGGAGTGGGAGTATGTCAAAAGAGCTTCATAGAAGTGACACTTGAACAAAACTTTAAGGATGAACAGGAATTCCCTAAGTGGGTAAGACAGGAATAAAATTTTTTTAAAAATTATAATGGGTAACATAAGCCAAGTATTATGTTTAATATCACATTAATTAACTCATTTGAGTCCCACCACAATCCTAAGAGGTACTTAGAATTATTCCTTGTTTAAAGGTGAGGAAATTGCGGCACAGAGAGGTTTCCTAATTTTCCCAAAGTTGCACAGTCTCTTGGTAGCAGTGACTCAAAAGAGGCGGTGGTGAATGCAGACATTTGGTTTGCAAACTACAGGCAACCAGCCATGCTGGTTGGAGAAGATCTCATAATTAAGTTGTCTAAAAGCCTCATTATTTAAAGTAGGTCTGTAGATCTGCTCCTTAGTATCACTTGGAACTCATTAGGAATGTGGAATCTCAGGGCGCCTGAATGGCTCAGTTAAGGTGACACTTGATTTTGGCTCAGGTCACGATCTCAGGGTTTGAGACAGAGTGCGGCGTGGAGCTCCATGCTGGAAGTGGAGCCTGCTTAAGAGTCTCCCCGTCCCTCTCCTCCCCCCAACTCACTCGCGCGCTCTCAAATAAATAATAAATAAATGCTAAATGAATAACTAAAAATTAAATAAATGTGGAATCTCTGGCTCCACCCAGACTACTAAACTTATTTTTTAACAGTATTCCTTAAGTGATTTGTATGCACAGTACAGTTTGGGTAATACTTTCTGTAGAAAAAGGGTGGTATATGTGGGTATGGCTAGCACACTTATGCTCACCATGTGAGTTTGATAACACCTTGTTCAAAGAGAAGTCTGCTCATGTCAAATTGATGTAAACTTCTAAATGTTTACTTTCAGGTATTGTAGGCATTTCCTTGTGAACCAGGTGCAGAAAGTTGGCTGTTTATAGACGCTATTTTGAAGAGCACTGATATAGGGGCTTATGTATTGGGGATGGGGGAGGGAGGAGGGTGAGAAATGGCTGGACGTGAAGGTAGAAGTGCTAGATTTTAGGAACTCTTCCCTCAAGGAGGAAAGGTTGCTTACATGCAAGTGAAAGTGCTGTGTCCTAGAAGTTGCTGTAGGGTTTAGGAAAATTCGGACTCTTCCTATTGCTGAAAGGGCTGCAGTGCACATATTGTCCTGTAGATGGAGCCATATTCTAGTTAGCACTAGACAGCTGAGGGAATGTTGTGTGAGGAGGTTGAGAATGTAGGGACTTTTAAATATAGTAGAATAAGTCTCTAGGGAATGGAGTGAAAAGGCTTTGACTAGAAAGGCAGCAGCATAATCCTTGTTTTAGAGCAGTATGGGAAGGAGGACGTAGGAATGGTTGGTGCAAAATACTGAAAATTATACAAGGTGGTAGGCTTGGGTGGAATTTAGTGGCATTAAGGTTTACTGCTTTGAACTTTGAGGATCCCAGGGAGTGCCTAGGTGAGTTCTCTGCAGATTCCACCTCACCCTTCTGGTGCAGTCATTTTGGGGTCCAGTAAAAGTCACTGTAGGCTGCAGTCTGAGAATGCGGGCATTTTGTAACACAGGTCTACCATAAAACTGCTTTTTTTTTTTTTTCTTTTTTCTCTCTTCTCTTTAACCTCCACCATAGGCACCGGCCATGGCCAGTGGTTTAAGAGGAGAGTGGGATGGGTGAAGTTCTGGGTCGACACATATTTGAGACAGATGAAAGTAATTTAGAAATAATTAGTCTTTTTCTTCTCACTGAACACAATAATCTGGATGTAAAAATCCTGCAGACCCACTGCTTAATGGGAAAGGGACATGGTTGGAGGGAGCCAGAGGGGAACTCTCTAAAGCTCAGAGCCCAGGCTGATTTTCTGGCCTGGGGCCCATGGAAATCATCTTCGTAATTGTGATATTTGCTAATGAGAATGGGGTGCTTATTTACTATGGTTCTTTTCTAAGTACTTTACGTATACTAACTTACTGAATCCTCATCACCTGATGAGGAAGCCATTGTGGTTATTATCCCCATTTCACAGACAGGCAAGCTGAGGAACAGCGAGGTTAAGTACTGTGTGAAGGTTACCTAGCTAAAGTAGTAGAGATAGAAATGGCCCAATATTGTCATCTCATGGCATCTTCCACAGAGAGCTCTGAATGACAACCCCCCCCCACCAAAAAAAAAATGGTTTTCCTTATGTAAGAGTTAGGAAACTCTAAATAAAGTAATGGTTAGCCATGGGCACCTAGTTATTTGATAAGTAATATTACCTTAAAGCCTTCTGTTTATTATATTTGCTTTGCTTTATTTATTAAATTAGCATTTTCTCTCTTCTTAGAATATGATATTGGAGGGTTGCTTCCTCACTCCTGTGTGCTGGTACGCACTGGCTCACTCTGCCCCCTCCCTTCCTTCTAAATTAACATTTACTACGTCCCACTTCTGTGGTAGCCAGTGGTTCTCAAACTTCAGGTGCAACAGAATTCACCAGGAGGGCTTGTTAAAACACAGATTACTGGCTCCACCCAGAGTTTGATTCAGCATATCTGAGCGGGCCCCAGTCATTTGCATTTCTCAAGCGTTCCCAGGTGTTGCTGATGCTGTTGGTTCAGAAACCACACTTTGAGAACCCCTGTACTTGGCATTGTCTAGTAGATTATTATGTATTATTATAGCAGATCCATTATAAATCTGTATGTCAGATGACTAGAAAGCAGAGACTATGTTTTCAGAAGACTAGAAGGCTGAAATATCCAGCTCACCATTTTGGTTGTTGTTGTTCTTGTTCCTTACATAATTGCTCTTCTAAAAAAGGTAAATGAATAACCATATCGCAAAACATCTGTATTACTAGATGCTCCATAATAGCTTAGGCGAGGTTTCATTACTAGAGATCAGAGAAGTACCAAGTATAGGAGTAAAAGCCTACAAATAATTTGTCCTTATTAAAAACAAACAAGAAAATCTTTTCTACTAATTCGGAATTTTCTGACTTTTTTTTAAACTTAGGTACATTTAGCAGGAAATTAGAGATATGCAATCCCATGCAACAGGTATTTATCAATGTTTATTTATGTCCTTGAAATTTTATTTGTCATCTTCTGTTTTGAAAAAAGATGAAGGGCAGCCAGAATACCATTTAAATTCTTTGATGAATACTGGTCTTCCTTTTGCTTTTGCTTATCCCCTTTCAGCACCAGAAAAGCAGAACATCCTAGGATAACATTTTTTCTCTCGAAGGAGGAAATATGGAAAGTTATTAGATCAAATGCAGCACCTTCACATAAACAGTAAAATATGATCTGGAAAGCCCAAGTAACATTGCAGCTGGTGCTAAGAGTCAGAAGAGATGTCTGTTTTGATGGAGAGGCTTATAGGGAGAAGTGGTGGTGCCCTGGCGTCTGGCTCCTTGCCTGCAGAGCTGATCAGGGCACCAGAATGCTGGGAGGAATGATGTATGTCTGGACTTTCAGCATCAGATGGTTTGACCAAGATACTGTGACTAAAATGCTCTCTTGAAATTGTGTGTAAGCAGGAGAAATTGATGAGATTCCAACCCCCGATGACTTATTTTGTTTAATTTTTTAAATGAGGACTTGAAGTGAATGGTGTTGAAATGAACAGAAGCTGTTGCTTTATTAAATGGCATCCTCTAATTTGGCTTTTATAAAATCAAAGAAAGTTTGTATGATTTTTTGAAATAGATATATTTATGTGCTAAAATACAGTAATTCCTCATATATGCCAAATGTATACTTTGTAGAAAATGTATCAGAAATAACATTCTATTTTGAAATGTGGTAATCTCAATGTAGTTAAGTTTATAGTACAGAACTTGCAAAGTTAAAATTTATCTTATTTTCCTACTCAGTTAAAAAATATATTCTGAGGAATTTACAGATTTGCTTTAAAATGTTATTCTTTAGCTTAGATATTGCCATTTTGGAATCAAAATCTATGGGGAACAG